TCCGGGGTGTTTGGGGGAACAATCCCACTCGAAGCTCTATAACCTCCCGGAGTTCCCAACTCCTTCAAAGGTCTTTGAGGTGGTGGCTGTGGATCACCCATTTGGTCTTGTTGTTCCTCGAAGTTGAACTCTCTAGTTGGGGAAGTAGTTAACGGCCTAGAACCGGATCTCCTTCTCCTTCTTCTTCTAAAAGTTTTTTCAATCTCGGGATCGTAAGGCACCAAAATCCTGTTATGGGTTCTACGCATACACTCAACAATTGCAATTAGTAACAAGGCTACAAGTGTAGCCAAAAAGAAACAAACTCTTTTTGTATTTTTTTTATCTTTAATGGTGAACTAGACTCAAGTAATCAATTAGCAATTAACAACACCATTCCTCGGCAACGGCGCCATTTTGATGGGCGTTAGAACGGTCGCACATTCCACACTCATTCAAACACATTTATAAGCAAACATCTCACAAACTAAGCATAATGACAAGTAAGAGTTCGGTCCACAAGGAACAAGATGTAATCGCTAAAGATCTTAATACGCAAGCTAGTTCGAAGACTTATATTGGTTGGGGGTTCGTCAAGTAGACAAACAAACTATTGTTCTAAATCAAGTGATTAAAAGCACTAGGAAATGGGATCCACTCAATCATGGCAATTAAGCATATTGGGAGTAAAAGAGACAAGAGATAGCAAGGACTATATGTAAGACCAACCTCATGCAATTAGGAAAACAACTCACACTTCTAAACTTAGATCCCTCATTAGTTTAGCAATAGGAGATACATAATCAAATTTCAATAAGTAATGACATGCTTAATCTACATTTCCAAGTCTAACTAAGCATAACATGCCATCAAGCTCCAAATTCAAGGGTAGCTAATCCTATCATGAAGAACTAACAAGCAATCTCATACAATCAATTTAATCACAAATCAAACATCAATACTTCTCCCAAGTTTACTTAATTAACCATTAGGTTGAGCTTCACCCAACCCCTAGCAAGGGGGACTACTCACAATTCATTGTGAGTAACATGCAAAGTTCCAAGTTGGTGTTCTAAGTAATTCTAAAATTGGGGAAAAGTGATTCACTATGGATAAAACTAACATGCAACAACAATTTATCAAGACTAAAAGAGATTCAAGTGACTTGCAATGACAAAATAAAATCAGAAAATAAGTAGTGACAAGTGAAAGAAGTTACTATTGAAGCTTCAAATGTTGAATAAATGCTGAAAATCTGAGAATGAACCTTGAAGTTTTCCTCTACAATGATTAGATTTTGAGAGTTTCCAAACTAAATCATCCACTAATAAATGAACTAAGGTGCTAAACTAAGAGGAAGTTTTTTCTTTCTAAAACTATTCTACTGAGCTAATCTATCCTCCCTCAAAAACGTTCTAAAAAGGAACTTAAATAGTCCGTATAAAGTCGGTTGAGATCGGGAAAAGGTCCGACCGAACTCTGGGTAGGTTCGGTCGGACTCTGGGTAGGTTCGGTCGAACTTTGGGTGGGTTCGGCCGAACCTCCCTGCTCCTTGTTTGGTCGAACTTTTGTGGTTCGACCCTCTTGCAAAATCGTTGAAAACTGGTTTGAAACTGCCTCCTTTGCACCTTGGAAGTTCGGTCAAACTTTTGAAAAGTTTAACCACACCTTGGTTCGACCGAACCTTTCAGAGGTTCGTCCACACCTCCTCTTGCACTTCCTCTTCTTGCTTCCTCTCCTTCCCTTTTTGCTCCTCTTGCCTTTTTCCATGCCTCCAAGCTTAGCCAAGGGACCTCCCACCGTGCTTAGGACCACCATGGAACCTACAAAAGATAGCAAAAATCACGAGAGCATGGGGAAGATAAAATAATGCATAAAGATTATCAAAACAAGCGCAAATAAGCATACTTTTCATCAACACATAAAGAAACCATAAGAGGAGAAAGGAGGTTGAAAAACCTAAGAAAATAGGAGGAAAGAGACCTAAATACTACCCCTAAGAGTGACATAAATGTCACTCATCACCGGTTCGGTGATCGAGGGTGTGAGACGTTGGAGGTCTTAGCTTGCATTTGCGTGGATTGAAGTTTTCCAAGTCCGAGCTCGATTAGTGAGCGAAGTACGCGTCAAGGGTGAGCTTCTTTCTCTCTCTTCTCTTTATGTGTTTGTGTTTTATTTGTCTGCATGCTATCTTGTTATGTTGTAATTATGATGCATGCGATCCGGTTTTCGGGTTTTGTTTCCACGCGGTGTCGGACACCGCAAAACCCAATAGAGAGAGCAAAAAGAAAAAGGCCAAGCAATCACTGGGCACCACTGTGGTCAACCATATTGCTGGAATTCCCAAATCCAACACCGCTGCTGTTGAGAAGTTAGATGATCAAATATCTACTGGCCTAGCTTCTAGCAGCAATGAGGGTTCAAATATCGAGCAGGAGAGTGAGGTTCTTACGAGAGATTTAACTACTAATGATATTGCTGAAGTGGAATCTGTAGGCTCTAATGAGGAAGACCCCATGATTTTTGAACTTCATCAGGTACAGTCATTTACTCCACACCCTACCTTCACATTCTTTGCCATGTCGAGGAAGTATGGAAGACCAGTCAGGTGAAAAGCAAAGAACAAGAAAGGTAAAAGGTATTGCAGGTTTTATTTTTGTAGTATCAAGAAATGCAAGGGAACAAGTTTGGAACACCCTATGACCGGCGATAGATTCCCTCAGTCCTCTTATTTGCATTATCAAGAAGTTCACAACATTTGTACCCCCAATCCCCACCTTAGTTCTTGTATTAACTTGGCTAAGAGAGTTAAATTTTCAATTTGTAGTCTTAATAGTTAGTTAGGAGCTAGCTTCCTTTTTGGACCTTTGTCAAAATAAAAAAAAAAAAAAAAAAAAAAAAAAAGGAGTAATTTCATAATAATAAAGATTATAAAATTGTGATATTTGAAAATAACATATCGAGACGAATCAAACAAGATCTCACATGACTATATTTTAAAATATGTAATAATGAGAATTTATGGTCGATATATTCTACCTTTGAACACATGTTTAAAGTGTTGAAAAAAAATACTTGGTATAAGAACGTAGATAGTTGTCACTAGAGGTGACCATTCGGGTGCCCGGGTCGGGTTCGGTGAGGCCGGCCGATCAGGTTTATTTTTAAACTTGAGTCATGCTAAATTATTGTGTTCATGCAAGTTTAAAATCTAAATCGGATATTTTTCGGGTCGATTTTAAATTGGGTCGGGTCGGATGTGCGTGACACCCGTAGTTGTCACAGTTACAATATGTTGTAAGCCCATAAAAACCACAAATGATGTTACCAAAGAAAGTGACTTAGAAAAACAACAATTTATGATAATACACCTGATTCCAAAAAACATGAAAATGTGGATGGAGTCTAACATCTGATTGGCTCCTTATCTATCCACCATATATCCAGTAACATATCTTCCCTAGATTTCACTCATCCTACTTGGCACCTCTCATGATGTCTATTTTGATCTCCTCAACCCCACAAACTAGTTCATAAAATCAGCACTCTTAAGAAAAGCTCTTCCAGAAAACCCAATTACACAACCTGAGTTACTAGTGAGGAGAAACTGCGTGAATTAGCAGCAAATTCAGGTCAAAAGCAAGAAACATGGCAGCAGCAACATCTGCTACAGCAGTAGTAAATGGGTTTACCTCGCCCTTCATGTCGGGCGGGAAGAAGAGTAGTCAGTCATTGCTGTTTGGAGCTGCGGTTGTTAACAGCAAAGTTACAACAACCAGCAGGAAGTTGATTGTGGCTGCAGCAGCTGCTCCTAAGAAGTCTTGGATTCCTGCTGTTAAAGGTGGTGGCAACTTCATTGACCCCGAGTGGCTCGATGGCTCGTAAGTTTTTTCTCTCGCCAGTCAATTTTACTTTGCCTTATCTACAAGTTCTTCATGGTTTTTGTACGACAATCAGTCCAGAAAAGAAAAAAAAAAAAAAAAAAAAAAAACATTTAGAGACAGATGGAGTATTATTTAGTCGAATTACTTTAGTTTGAAATTGTTAATAAAGTTTAGTTCATCAATTATAGCTTAAAAGATTGTTCATTAAACTTTAATTTTTGGGATTCCGTCTGATAGGGAGGATTATTTTTGTTAATATTTGTTGTTGAGTTTATTACGATTTGATTAATAGTTAGATTTTTGTGTGTAAAATTAAAAACTTTTAATGATTGTCTATGTAAGACTAAGGTCTTTAGATTTAAAGTATGTTTATTAATCCTTCCACTAATACAATTTCATGCTAAAAACCAGACTCCCAGGAGACTACGGGTTCGACCCGCTAGGACTAGGAAAGGACCCAGCATTCCTAAAATGGTACAGAGAGGCAGAGCTAATCCACGGGCGATGGGCAATGCTAGCAGTTGTCGGGATCTTTGTCGGACAGGCATGGACTGGGATCCCATGGTTCGAGGCTGGTGCAGCCCCAGGCGCCGTAGCTCCATTCTCATTCGGAACATTGCTAGGGACTCAGCTCTTGCTCATGGGATGGGTAGAGAGCAAGAGATGGGTCGATTTCTTCGACCCCGACTCACAATCTGTGGAATGGGCAACCCCATGGTCGAAAACTGCTGAGAACTTCAGCAATGCAACAGGCGAACAAGGTTACCCTGGAGGCAAGTTTTTCGATCCGTTGAGCTTAGCAGGAACCATCAAGGATGGTGTTTACATTCCAGACACAGAGAAGCTAGAAAGACTGAAGTTAGCTGAGATTAAGCATGCTAGAATTGCTATGTTAGCTATGCTTACTTTTTACTTTGAAGCAGGACAAGGGAAAACTCCCCTAGGAGCTTTGGGATTGTAAACAAAGATTAATTCCCTTTAATTGAGATATTGATCTGGTGTAATTAAATGAAAAAATCTAATGTGGAACTTGACATTTGGTTTCTACTAGTAGCAATCTAATCTTACACTCTCAATATTCTCGACTTTCTTGTCTTAAAACAAAATTTTCTCCTAACTTCTAAATTCATCATTGACATTTGCTTAAAATTGTCACTTTCCAAGGTTTTTCCTGCAACAATTTTTTCCATTCCTTGCAATGTCAAAATTTGAGTTTGATTACTTAGAAATTACATGACACAATGATATAGCATTTACTGTAAATTTACTCAACATTTACTCAAACCATATCTAAGTTGGAACAGAGTATGTAGTATACTGTAAAAAAAAGTTACTTCGTAGCTTTCTTTGATTTTAAGTAATTATTGCAAGACAATGTAAATTTTCTTAAGAAACAACTTTTTACAAAATCACTGTTTCTCCATTGGATCATACAAGACATTGAGAAAAGAGAATGGTTCCCCAAATACAATAACTCAAGGATAATAAACATTAGTATATTCTTTTAAAAAAAACAAAACACAAACCAACCAAAAAAAAAAACAAAGCTCTCAGATCGTGTAAACAGTATAATATATTAATATGATTTATAGTATACAAGTAACAACAGAGGCTTCCCCCATGCAACAAAATTGGGAGAAATTTTGAAAAATATTAGCTATGATTTCTATACTACAGCCAAAACTCTCTTGGTAAAATACAAGCCAGTCTTGAAATAATCACTGACCAGAAGATTACACATTATCAGCTAGAAGGTCATGATCAATTTTGTACAATTTCTGATTCTACAACACTAATAACAGCGAAACAAGCAGCAACTTGGGCATTTTGCATTTTGCATTTTGTCAGCAATATCTATGCTAACAGAACATGGTAGACAGGTAGAGCAACTTATTGCAATAGAGTACACTTACATGAAGCAGCTTTGCAAACCAATCGAGTACTAAAGTTACATCTAAGACCATTCAATAGATGATATGTGCATGAGCCTATAAGCCTATCAAACTTCCTGTAAAATACAAGCCAAGTCTTAGCAAATGAGAATGAACTGCAGATCCTTTCAAAGAAACATATGAACAGCAGATGCAGCAGTGAAGATAATAATAGTCATGGTCTACAAGGAAACATTAACAACACCCAATGCCTGTCTTATCCCAGAAGGATAAGATCGACTACATGAATCAAGAAATTATTTCATATAGTCGTCTATAAAGATACCCTTCCTTATTTCTATCAGAATGATCTTCGGGTATTGGCCTCCCTTGACTTCTTATTGAGCAAACAACACTCTATTTTAGCAAAACAGTGAAACTAATAAAAAATACCTAATATTCCTGCATTGGCTGCAATATTTTCCATTCTTGAAAAGGGTGTCAATACCTAACCAGTAAGGTGATTGAATGCCATATTGACTAAGGCAGTTCCATAGAATATTGAACAAAATCTAGGAGAATATGAGATTTCAAATGTCAACAGAGTAAATTAACATATACAAGTACTTGAACAACATAACCCAAGGAGAAAAATGGGTAAAGCAACATTAAGCAAATAACTTTCAGAGTTTCAGCACGAAAAAGGTCTGTAATTTTGTAAACTTTAAAATTTTTGTCAATTTAAGCTTCTTCGTAGAAAACTTGCCAAACAGATACCTTACAAACAAAAGATCCTTCGCTCCATTTTAAGAAGTTGACACTGAGTTAGATTTAAGTCTCATCTGAACATCATCGAGGCAAACTTGGAGAGCCTTGAACTCTTCAGTGTCTGTAAATGAACTTGCCTGCAAAGTACATTAAGTAATTACTTTTTTTCTATCTTTTTTCCCTTTATTTGGACGGGCAAAGATTGATAGATTTGATAAATATACAAAAAAAAATGGAGGTTTTGAAAAGAATGTGTACTAAAGTCCAGAATCTTGCCTGCTTGATGATGTTACGAAGATGCATATCAGCTGCGCAGAGCTCTCTAAGGCTTTCAGCTGAAGATGATATTACCAAGTATATCTTACAAAGCTCTAAGGATGCATGTGCATACTTTCTAAACTGGACAATGTCTTTCCAAACTTCTGATCCCTAGGAAGACAAATGAAATAAGAATTATTGGCTTTAATGCATTATTGCGAAATTGCCAATATTTACAATATAGTCCACCAAAGGCAAGAATGTATGAAAAAGAAAGCATTTATGTCTGCAGCAAAGAAAAATTTTAACATCCCAAACAAAAACATAAAATATGACACAAAAAAAGGACAAAAACCTGTATGTGGGATCTTGTTAGATTTTAAACGATTTGTAATGAGAGTTATAAGAAGGCCCGTAGGTAAGGGTATGCAACCACCCCAATAGTACATGGCCCATGCTTTAACATAAAAGTAAAATAGTCCCTCTTCCTAGTAATTTTTCTCACCTCTGTGTTCTAGGAACTATGACATTTACCAATCTCTTAAATCAATTTAATTGGCATGGAAAATCCCAGTGTATCAATTACACATTAATTCTTTGCATATTCCGAAGTTTAAGCCTTAAACCTTCTACCTTTTCAATAAACATTCAATTCTTCCGCCTTCCTTCTAAAAATAATCCTTTGATTTTTCTAAATTAACAAATCTACTTCTTTGTCAAGATGAAAATGTGACAACCAAGAATACTCAATCCTACCCATTAAAATTCCATTCAATCAGATAAAATATGATCATCACCAATAGCAATCTCAAGCAAAACATTTCCCAAGCATATTTGCAGAACATGAAGACAAAATTCACAAGAATATAAACAGAAATCCCCTCTAATAGAATGACTAGCTCCTAAGAATGCATCTCCAAATCATTGAAAGAGTGATGGTACTATTATGTGACAGCATCAGTAATATTTCATGCTCAGAATGAGTTAAATTAGAGTCTTTTGAATACCAATATAGGTTAAAATTTTCTAGATTTAATTCATACCACACCCCTTATTGACACAAGCACCCTCTTTATGGCTTTAAATAAAGTACAGGATAAAGACGTATATTGTCAAGATGCAATACCTGGTAAGCTCTGACTTGCTTTAACAGGGCCTCAGAACACATTGTAAGATCTCCCCTCATCTTATGCCACCGAGCATACAAGCCCCATATATCTCCATTTCCTACACTACGAACGACCTGTATATGAAATAAATTTTAACACTTCCAATAAATTATTTGGCTCAACTCTATACCCAAGCTCAATGATTTGATTAAAACAAAAGTTTCATGAAAGAACAGTAACCCCTTTGGTCAGAAAAAAAAGTAGTAAGGAAGTAATCAACAAAGGCTACTTCATCGCACAGCATCCTTCAGAAAAAAAACAAAACCAATTTTATGTTGGACTAGTGGAGTAAAGAACAAAAACCAAAGGAAACCCAGGAAATTGAAACATAAATTAAAAAATAAAAAATAAAAAAAGAGGCAAAAGTACTCAGAACGTGCTCAAACTCTAACCTATTGGCGCACCCTCCAGCCCAATTCTCACATACTCGGCTGTGCACAAACAACTTTTTCCGCTTTACTCTTTTCCATAGGACCAGCATTTCCATTAAATTTAGTCTTGTTCACATCATATAGTTGTCCTAAGAAAGCAATTGTGTACATTGCAATAGCTTTTTCTCCTTTGTAAAGATGTACATACGTACCCTTTCCATATGAACGTTTCACCACCAAGCTATGCTGCCGCTCCATTAGAATTAGCTTTGTTTACAATTATTACATCATTTATTTTTCCCTTTTCTAGGGAGCCATTGTGAAATTTTGCCTTATTATGGGGTTCGTTAGTGGGCTGAGGACTGAAAGTAACAGCAACAATGTTCTCATACCTGCTGGAGAACTTTCCCTAGCAACTCCATCAAGCGCGTTGTGTCACGTGACTCTGCCACCTTAGATCCCAAATCTGTTTGGTTGGTACAATCATTATCATCTTCAGCACTAGAAGAACATGGAGAAGAAAACCTTTCTTCCATTTCTTGCACTATTCTCTCTAGCAAATCCCCATCATATCTTTTATTTCCTGTGAGATCTAACACCATTTGTGCTGCTTTTAACGCCTACAATGTCAAATATCATTTTTCGTCAATTGTAAAGTACGAAGTAGAGCATTATGTTTGATGAAACATTCAAAAGTAAAAATAACTGCATTATAATGTTGGTTGTTGGCAAGACCAGATGAAATTGCATAGTTCCTATAAAAGTGTCTTGATTCCTCTTTTGATTAAAAGGAGTAAAGGAGTTCTTTCAAAAAAAAAAAAAAAAGGACTCAAGGAGTACAATGAGTCATTGGTATGGGTTGATTAGAGCCTTCCAGCTCAGAATTTTTATATAAATCACAGATACACATTAGGCAAAGTAAGAATTGATTCTAATAACGGCTGATAATGGTTAAGTTATATTATGAGCACTTTGAAAAAATCAGTTACAATTTGCAAGTAGAAAATATTGGTAGGTGAACACTCTCATACAATGTCTTTACTTCAGAATAAAGTTTCCAATGAGTTCTAAGTTATTACTCAATTCTATATGATTTTAACACTGTACTCCAAAAGAATGAGAGAACTCCCACTAAACAACCAACCTCAAAAAAATTGCCAACATCAGCTGCAATTTGTCCATAGTTCTCCCACATTTGCCAGTTATTTCTTCTGCAAATTAGCAAAGCAATAAAATATTAAAATAAATATATGCATACACAACACCTAAAACAAATCAGGGAGATGTAGAGTAAAAGTTAACAAACTTGAACTTCAGTGCTTCTTTGAATGCAATGAAAGCCTCCTGACTTTTTTTCCTGATCATATGTCTGTAAGAATTGAAGGTAATAAGCTCATCAAAACAATGTCAACCCGAAAAACTGATAATGCATCAACAAAGTACAGTTAATGAAATTATAAGTAATCTAAAATGAGCTAAGCGATAAAGCAAGTGCCCGAGTTCAAAGAGAGTGCTGAGTAAAACACTGAAAATAATTTACAAATGAACTCTGATTACGAGATTAACTAAAAATTAGGCTGACAAAAATTAATACAGATCAATTGAATTCGAAGTGCAAACACTTGAAACCCCCATAACTCCTTATAAATTGAAGCAACAATCCACATTAGAGAATGTTTTTATTTCACAATATAACACTAGAAATTGACAAGATAAGCGAGCACATACAAACAAGCAATATTGTTCCAAGCCTCTCCATTTTCAGGATCAAGTTGAACTGCACGAATAAAACCATCAAGTGCCTTGTTGACATCCTTCGCCTGCATAATTTCACAGCAGGACTCAATCAGATTCAGATAATTCACAAAGCATTATTCAATCTTAAACCTATGGGCTTCCTACTAGGGCAACCACTTCCACACGTTCAACAAGCAAAGAAAGTTCATTTTCAATCCATATACCTAACAAAAAATTGTTACCTTCAGTGCAGCAGCTCCAAGAGCAAACCAACCATCTGGATACAGTGAATTCAATGCCATGGCAGATTCCCTACATCAAATAATTGTACCTTTAGTAGAGAAATGGGAGATATCTAGGCTGGCTGTCAGATAGAGCACAGAGATGCTTTTTTTTTCTTTTTTTTTTTTTTTTTTTTTTTTTTTTTTTTTTTTTTGAGATGTAAAGTATTATATCACTAAGGTAACATACCATAGAACTTGACACTTTTCATAATCTCCCTGGCTGTATGCACGGCGAGCAAGTGATCTCTGTTGATATAGCAACAAAATAAATAAAAACCACTCAGCAATATCTAGCTGAACTGCTGAAGAGAATATTCACCAATATCAATAGTGAATTCAGAGTATATTGCAAGAAATTTACTATAGCCCATCCCTGACCCAGTGCACCCTAACAAAAGGAAAGGAAAAGGAAAAAAAATCCCATGCAAGTTGATGGAAACATGCCCAGAACGTACCTTAGCTCTTGCACACCTATCATTTGAAACCTCCAGAGCTTTCAAATAGCAGGAATCATCATTTGCAACACCACCCAACGAGCACCTTGCAAGAAAAAGGCAGTAAAAACAATTGGGAATTATAACACATGGCAATTCATGATATAGCATTTGTATCTAACTGATATTTTCCACGAATGACAAAAAGTCAGAAAATCTTTAGAAAATGATCGTGAAAGATATAGAGCAGTAAAAATATGACAGTAAGCATATAATAATCCCAAACTCGAAGCTAAATAATGACTACAATATCCTCAGTGCTTAAGACATCAAACATTTTATTTTCCTAAAGAAAACATTTTTTTTGCCATGTGCTAACCTTTTATCACATCTTTGCTTGATTTGTTATAGCCAATCCCCAATCATGATCCATTATTAAGTCATTCCACAGATACAACATAATTACTACCGTTACAAACTATTTAAAAATAGAATCCACACAACTATTGTAACACCCTGAGCACCACACATAACCACCAAATGCACATCCTAGACTGATATCTAGCCCCACAAACTAACAAAGGTTTTTTCGGTGCATTTTGTTATCACTCGTCCACACCTTGGGAAACTTCCTAGGAGGTAACCTAACCCAAGAGTACTCTAAGCCAAGCACGCTTAACTGTGTAGAACCTTAACAAATCAGTATATGACCATCCTGAAAGAAAGGTGCACCTTCTTGGTATGAGACAATTAGCTGTACATCCATTCATACTTAATGAGAAGCAGGGGTATCACAACTATAACAATAAAACTAGATAAATCTAAAACAAGATGGTTGCTACTGCAGGTCAGATTCTCTAGTACAATGTTCTTATGCAAACTTTCCATGCACAAGTATGTGTACTCAAATTAATGATATATTACAGATTCTACGCGGAACAAAATGTTATCCTAAAACTTATAATGACTTGAAACTTAATATTTCATTAATAAATCCCCATATACCAAACTGGGATAGCTACACAATTCAAAGTTCTATTGCAAAACTCTGGGAAGAATTTCTCTTCAAAGTCTTCTTTGACCCTTCAGAGATACACCCAAACGCAAAGATGGATCCCAGAAATAAAGTTTCAAAATGAGAGTTCATCCGCAACAGAAACGAGGTCGAGAATATACTAGGGAGAATCTCCTAGGGTGGTTTTGCCATTTTAAAAGAGGACCAAGTGAGGCTCCAATAAGGAGGCTAGAAGAGTGTCAAAGTGTTGGGATCGTGAGGCGTAGGGAAGACCTAAGAAAACTTTGAAGAGGGTGATTGAGAGTTACATGACTATTTTGGGGATTGAGGAGAATATGGTGTTGGATAGGACAGAGTGGAGGGAGAAAATTCATGTGGAGGATGTGTCATGATTTTTATATATACATAAGGCTCTCGTGAAAACTCCTCCTTTATGTGAGAACCCTTTCTTATGTGAAAACACTCTTTATGTTCTAAATTTTTACTCATTTGTTTTAAATTAAAAACTGGTGTTCTAGATTATTACTCACATGTTTAAAATCTTAAATTAGTTGTTCTAATTTTTTTTTTTTTGTATGTTCTAAATTTTAAATTGTATGTTCTAAGATCTTTAATCATATGTTTTAGATTGTAAATCATATGTTCTAAATTATTACTCATACGTTTTGAACTTTTACTCACATGTTTCTAAATTTTATTCATACTAAATTTTAAATCGAGAGTTCTTCATTTTTACTCACATGTTCTAAATCTTAAATCAGATGATCTAAATTTTATAAATATGATTAATCAAGTTTTTTAAATTTATACTCGCACCTTCTAAACGTAAAATCAAATGTTCTAGATTTTTACTCACTTAGATGTTCTAAATTTTTTACTTATATGTTCTAAATATCTAGATATTAAATCACGTGTTTTAAATTTTTAATCATATATTCCAAATTTTTACTCATACGTTCTAAATATTAAATCTGTTCTCATATAAGTATGGGTTCTCACATATGGTCCTACTCTCACCGGATCCCTCCACTCCTATTAGTATTTACTTTAATTATTTACTCAGCTCGTGTTTTGCATACTTTACTTATTTCCTTTGCTAATGTTTTCTCAAACCTTTATGTTTTTACTCGAATGTTTTTCTTCTCCTTTTTATCCCCTTACTAATCTTTTATAACTCTCATAAATTCTATTTGTATACTCAATCTGTTTTCATTTACACACTTTTTTCTAACTCTTATTCAATTGATTATTTTGCTATGCTCTATTTGTATACTCAATCATTTGGGGACTAAGGCTTTGATGTTATTATTGTTGTGGAGAGGCCATACATAATGAAATAGAGAACTGATACTCTTGCTCCCCCCCCCCCAGTTACTTACACCACTTTTCTTATAAAGTCGTCTTATCTTACTCAAGACACTTCTATAAGGGATCCACTATTTTTTAATATTTTTCACTAACTTTGGGAAGAACTTTGCTAGTTTGCTTACTACTTTTGATTATATTAAAAAGAAAAAAAAAAAAAAAAAAAAAAAAAAAACTCTCACACACCCCTTAATAAGAACACAACGCACTACCCAACTACAATAAATTTTAAGAAAAACAATACCAATTAGCTGATTAAGTCAATTTATTTACCTAATTTCATGCGCTAGTCAAAGTGGTCCAACTAATTCGAGAAGGGAGTACATAAGAAGAGCAAAAAAATAAAAGCCCTTCATAGTATCGTAAATGTAAAAAATAAAAAAGGGAGTATTAGAGGCAAAATACAGTTTGATACAAACAAAAAAACTCAAAGAAAACTGAAGATAGTACCTACATAATAGAAGCTTAGCTTTTAGCATTATCAATTAGCTACAATAAAAAATTTTAAATTGGAAATGCAAGATATTATACCATAACCTTGGATCAGAAGGTGTTTCCAGCAGCCACGCCTTGATTAGTTCGGCTGCTGCCGCTTTCTTCTCCAATAGGCTGCAATTAACATTTGCATTACTTTCCTTAATTGATTCTATGAGGTATGGAGTAAGCCAATAATGACAGAAGAAAGAAGATGTGATAAAATGCGTTTATCTACACTATACCGGTAGCAGTATATCAAATTATCCCAAAGTTCTAAATCTTCAAAAATTCCAACGGCCTCCGCTATCAAGCCGCGACCAATGAGAAGCTCACCATACTCCCTATAAAAAAAACAGAAATTTAAATTGAAATCATAGATTCAACACAGTGGAAACTTACGCAAATTAACAAACATGAATAAAAGAAAATTTACATAGTTAGATGACAAAAAATGAGCCTGAATACTTTTGAAAGAAGGAAAGAAACGTACTTTCTGAGTACAGGTACAGGCGGTAAAAAAGACAGCAAAACAGGAACGAACCCTTTCCAGTACTTGGGGTGACGGCTCATGAAGATCTTGAACCTGTAATCATGGGCGCACAAAAGGAAAAGAAATGGCAGCTGTAATCAGAGCTTTGAGCTTCTTTGAGAATAAAAGAACAGCACAGGTGAGGAAGGTGATTGGTGAGGGGAAAGATGATCTTCTAAGATTACACAAGAGTCGAAAAAACTTCTAGCTATTATTACCCTGGACTCAGCTGACCAATTGTACATTTATTTGGCTTGACCAATTTCTAGACCAAAGAAATGTCGAGAGTAAATTGTCTGAATCAGATTCCAAAACCCCTCTTCCCTTATCTCATGTAAAGAAAATTGTCTAAATAACACAAGGTCCAAGAAAATCACAAAACACAAAATCATAAGATTAGTTGAAAAAAGCATAAGTGAACACAGAGTGATCTCAATATGAAATTAAATCACCATTCCTCCACCACTCCGTTTAAATGGAAAAAGGATTTTGAGCTTTTGATTTTCGACCTAAATTACCAAGATTGAATCCCTCATAGTTCATAATCACTCGTAGCAAGGGGGTAAAACTAATACCTATCCTAAGACTTCTGATAAATCTTCCAAATATATCCAAAGGCTCACGGTTAGCCTCCAAGAGACATCTTCAAAAGTGTACTTGATGAAGCCCTCCTCTCTTAAACACCAGAATCCTTAACCCTACAAGTAGCTTTGATATCTTTAGGTAATCCCTAGTCCAACCCCCTAGTCTTTCCATCCTCGAGTAGACTAAATTGCAAACTGGTCTACAACCCCAAACAGGCTAAACTTTGCAGCTATACCACATAGCTAACCGGATTTTAAAATATCGATTGCTCCTTCAACGACTTAATGGCTGCCCACATTTGTTCTTTTAAACAAGGAGTAAAAGTTCCTCAACAATGTCTTCCCATTACGATAAGCTATGCACAGTCACAGTACCTAATACAGGCTTCTAGGCCCTACAAATAAGCAGTCATAGCTAAAGAAGATCGAAAATATTCAGCTCTTTCCTCCTACAATCTTATACTTTGATGACTAGGTGTCACTTCTTTCAATCAATTAGGACTTTATTTGAAAAGTATATGAGCTCATTTCTGAGTCTTTCATATCCTTCAATGCCCACATCTAATTGGTGTGAATTATTTTTCTTCTCCACTTGTGGATTAAAGCACTCATAAGCCGTTAAAGGCAGTGAAAAAGGGATCAAAGTGACCACCGCTCCCTGTCCCTACATTTAAAAATCACATAATTTGAGTATATTAACACAGTGGAGCCTATTCTACTGCAAATCCTTACCACACTAGCACCAGCTCCTTTAATGTGCCTCAGCAGCTCGGATTATTTAAACTGAACTTGGATTGTCGTTATCATCAACCACAACAGGTCTTCAATATAATAGAACACTATAAAGACATATAAAGGTAAAAATAGGTTGAGGTCTGAATTTGCATACTACAGAATTCAAGGAGCAAAATTTCTACTCTCTGCGTGCCTACAATACCATTATGATGCTCGTTTTTCTATGAAAGGAATAATAATAATTGATTTGATCATACCAAAAAGAGTTCAATAGGATGTGTCCAAACTATTGTCAGACAAAGAGAGTAACAAATAAAGGAGAACAGTGGATGACAACTAGCTTAGTTGGTTAAAGTCTTGGGAGGTGTGTACCCAAGACCTGGGATCGAATCCCTTTTACATCACTGGCTCACTACCCCTGTAGCTCTCTTTACCCCAGAAAAAAGGAAAAAAAAAAAGAAAACAAATGAAGGAGAACCAAGCCCGGAGTAATGCTATCATGTTGAGACTAACAAATGTGCCAAAAAAATCATTAATGACATAACAGTGTTCCAGATGTTGATGAGGCAAGTTTAACAACAAAACCACAAAGAAAACAATTACAATTCATTTGTTTAGAAATAGCTGCAAATGTTTCGATTATAATGCTCGTCAATGCATACTATTAATATCTCTATTATCAATAAGTCAAAATTATAAAAAGTTCATATTTTGAAAGTATGTATTGAGATGCATCGAACAAGATCCCAAAGACTGTGTTTTTTTCCAAGTATAAATCACCAATGATAGTGTAAACAATCAAAAAATTTGCAACTATATAGAAATGGAGAAAGTTATTTACAGAAGAAGAAAAGCATTCAGTAGCAGCAATATGTGCACATTACCAATTTGTTCATCATCAGCAATGCACGCTCCTTAGTACGGGTACGAGTGGACTCCCACTTTATACGCAAGATGTTGCATGAACAATTGATCTGAAAAGAGAATAAGCAGATAACACTAATAAATTTGCATGTACAAAACTTCGATCTAAAGTTTACAATAGAAGCAGAGGAAGTTATGTACCCTCAAAAGGCTAGTAATTAAAAATTTTGTTTTCAAATTTCAACATTAGAATACCAAAAATACTTGTGTATGATCCATTTTCTTGGAATATCAGGTAATTCAAGGATCATCTACTGAACAGATTATAGAAATTGCACCAGCAGAGTAATATATAATGACAAATCTGAAATTTTTGTCTTCAATCTTCATATCTAAGTCCATGCAAAGATCTTACTCCCTCCATTTCAAAACAAGTGTATGATCAACTAACTTTTATTACTCCAAATGATATGTGGCTTGTAAAATTAATATAACATTAGTTGTTGGTTTAATAAGAAATCCAATACTACTTATAAGTTCTGAATACCCATGTAATAATTAACCTCTCCTTAATTATTAAGTATCACCTCCCCTTTGGATTTTAAATGAAAAAAAGGAACGTAGTAATATGATTTCTGATGAAATATTGAGTTTATCAGTCAAGCAGTTATCAATACATCAATTTAACATAAATAAATACAACATTTTAGCAAAGAGTAAAGAGTAAACTTATTGATGAGGCTAAGATTAGTATTCTTATCATGAAAACTATCTACTACATAGGGGAGAAGGATTATGCCCATTAACTTCTCCACTTTTTTTAGCAAAGATTAAAGAGTTGATCCATACTTTTGAAACTGCTAAAATTGCAATCACATACTCTTTAAAATCAGATGCAATAGCGTCAATATGTATAATGATTCTAGAAGCAAAGTCTTAGTTATAATGTGGTATTATGGTGACAGTAAAAAGTGTCCATTTCCATCTGAATAAAAAGACCCCCCCCCACCCACCCTACACACACACACACAAACAAACACACTCTCTTTTTTTCCCATAGATTATAGTCTATTTATGGATCATGGACTACATAGAAATGGCTTATGAAAATACATGCACTTTTTGTTTATCGTAATCATCGCGTTTGGGATCAACAATCTAATGGGAACATCCTCTTTAGTATAAAGATGAGCATGTGTATATGTATCCAAACCCCTACCCTGCCAAGGCAAGAGTTTATTAAAAAAGTTGGGGAAATGTGAATTCTAATTCTAAGTTTATGTCCTGTTGTGTGAATAATTAAAAATACTAGAAACAGTGATTTTCGTATTCAAAAGTGGCTGCACCTTTGTTCCATGAAATGATGGGGTGCTTCCATTGAGTGTCACTTTAACACTTGCTTTGAGTTTCTAGAGGATTATTACTGGCTCACATACATCATGAGTAGCAATTTTTCTGATTAAGTAACTAGCGGGAGGACTTCAGGGTTGTCCTCTTCAATTTTGCTAATGACTTCCACAGTTTCACTCTCTAGTTTAGACATAATCAAATGATGGCAATATCGAATGTGAAAGGCTAAACAATAAAACCTTTATGCTCCATTATAACAAAAAAGTTATGTCTAACTTACAGTGAAGTATGATGACTGCTGAGAATCAATAGCCTCTACGTATGGAGCCATATCCCAGCCTAAAGCAAAAATTTTGATTTAGTAAAAGAAAACAGGATACCATGGCCACAATGAACATCAACTTCTGTATTAACATAAAGATTGACAATAACAAAGCTGAATAAGAAGAGGACTTACACTCTTACAAACATGAAGCATTAATAATGGACTATATTTTAGGCAAAAGTTACAGTCAAATTAAGAGAGGTAAGTTTGAAATGCCACCATATTCTGTAATTTTATTGATCCTCCAACAGCAGGCTATTTTCCCAAACAAAAATTGGAAAAGTTCCGTGTTACCCTTCATTTAAATTGATAATTTTTTTTTTTAATGATAAGGGAGGGGATAAAAATACAGCAATTAGCAGCAAATCAGTCTCTTTTCAGTACATTAAGTAAATGGTTTAGCTTAAGTGCCAAACTCAATGTGTTCTGCCAACATAGAAAGGCAGAATTCTAGTTTAGGTAAATCAATACTAAATAGGTTAACAGATGTACAAGCACAGCATTAAAGGATAAGGAGTCCAGTAAGTTTTGTTCAAAGAAAATAGCATGTCAACCAAGCTATGTATTATCAAGAGAAAAACCCAGGAAGACTCTGTAATCCATCACTCTTTCAGTCTTATCATACCCATGTCAACATGTATCTGACGCTAAAACAAATATCGATATTTGGGAGTGATCTTTGGGGTATATTGAAAAAAATCGAAAAGCATACCCATGTACAATAAGAATTGTTGCAGTCCTCTCTAGTTGTAAAACCAAAAACTGCAAACTATACCATTGCCATAGGTGCCTCCTTTTTAATGTTTTTTAATGCCTCTTAGAATGAAAATTTTGACTAGAGAAGCTCCAAACACTGGATGAGCAAAACCACAGAAAATCTAAAAACCCAAACACCCTATCAATAGTAAACATTGCCACTTGACATTGAAAACTATGATTTCACATCTTGCAACTTCATAAACGCGAATTACAAGAGCCACAAAATTATTTGGCCACTACCTTTGCAATTTATCATTTGTGATGAGCCATTCCAAACACAAAGTCCATGCAAAAGCCTTAACTCAAGTGTTACCACTTACCATGAATGTGGTACGGAGCCCATTCTGCAAATTGACATCAAGTGTTCCAAAATGTGGCCTAGTTTGGTGGACCCTGCTACCCGGTTCAATAAGATTAATTTGCTTATTATCTATTATTCAATTTGTTCCCAAATGAACCCAATTCACTATAGGGTTTCACATTCTCAATCTCTTATCTCTTATCCCTTACCGTACCACATATTATGTAACATCCATTACTCCCTCTGTATCCATAAATTGGCTCCACTTTTCTTCTTGGTCAATCTCAATTGATTTGCTCCACTGCCTCCATATCCTATTGGTAAGCATATTATCTCTACATTTTCCCAAAAGTTGAGCACCAAACTAACACACTTACCCCGCGCGCTTAACTCTTTAATATGTATATACCAGGGATTAAAATTCCACGAACTAGAGCAGAAGCCAAGCATATTCCAAGATCTACTTTTTGCCATCATAACATACAAGGATATATATTACTTGCAATGGAAGCATACAATAATTCAATAACTTATTATGCTTTTTCCACTTCCTATATAAACAATGTCTTTAGAAGTTGATAAACAGACAGCAAAACACAGTAATAGAAGCCCTCCAGAATCTACAGGCACAATGAAAAACAAATATATTACAATTTCCATCTATGGCAACTTTGAGCAGGCAACCTTTTACATAATGGATCATGAGATAGGTCATATTAAGAAAGATTATATAAAGGCCATCAAAGATATCATATTTCATGTTTTTAATGTTGAAATGGAAGAGGGAAAAATGATCAAGGATTGCTCCTTTAAATCACATAGCTATCAATTAACCACTAACAATCTAACATATTGGAGGGTTTATCTTGTGAATGACAAAGCACAAATAATTTCATATACTTTTTGCTATTGAGTCCCTATTGATATCATTATGCATCAATGTACACATATTATCTAACTTAAGCAGCCTTTATTACAAGACTAAATATAAGGCAACCAACACATTTTGTCATTTCATTAAAAAAATGGAAACTTACTTTGGAGCTCATCCACCCGAGCTCTTTTTTCTATAAGAAGGCAATGAGCGAGAATGACTGCCTGTTGAATTGAAGTCAATGTTACATCAGTGGCACGATTATGCTCAATCAGATTCAGATTATCCAATCCATTGCCAACACTGTTGATAAATTTAGGAGCCATCAACACATCAGACGCCTCACTATTCTGTTGATGTGAATTTGGCTCATTAGAAGCATCTCTTTCATGAGTAACATTTGACGATGGAGTGCTACTGGCACTAGCTAAAGAGCTTTTGCGCGTAACCAGAACCCTCTGGGCAACTGGATCCACCTACATGCAGCAATGACAACCAATTCTAAGGTAAGACAGTTTATCTTTAATAATCATAAAACAGGGACTAGTCAGATAATTACTTGATGGACTGTTCGGACACCAAGAGCTCCAGTTACAGAGAGTTCAAGCCCCGTAGACAATGCTGCCGCTTCAAAATATTGCCTAGACACACAATAATGGAGTAAGACAAATATAAAAGGGATATCTAACTAATATTTCAGTGTTACAGTGAAGGGGAAGACAAGGAATTTCAGTGTGTTACTTTAATCCTTGGTTGATGCAAAAGGAAGATCCAACAGAAGGTTCATAAAAGAGGGATATTTACCTATAATTTATGTTTGTGGGGGAAACCTACAGATACTTAGTATCAGAGACTAGATCATTGCAAGCAAGAGAGGCATCACAGTTCACAACATGTTATTCTGGTGCTTCGCGCAGCCAATTAAATATAGGAGCAATAGAATCATAGAAATTTATCTTGTTTACTATTAAGCCCACTTCACCAACAGATAGCAGATCCTTAAGAAAGTAATCTCAGTAATCCTCTTCACGAAGATTATATCCACATTTAGCACCTAAACAAGGGAAAGTATAGAGAATAGGATTCCTAATTTCTTATTAACATTTATGGTAGCTCAACTGAGATTCATCATTAAGCTTTAATTTTATGTTTTGATTTAGTTTGATACCAAGTGGTTTATTTTAGCTACCTTTGAACAGGCATGTGTTGCCTGCCTGCCTGTGTTTACAGGAGGCGTCCACTACACCAGTACTTCGATTAGGGACCTTTCTTGTTGGGATCTTGTCATCTTCAATTCGTAATATAAAGTTGCCAATCAGTACCAAAAAAAAAAATGACAATCACATAAGTCACCCAACACAACCACAAAGAAAATACTCTATTTATATCATGACTAGATTGGCTAACACATTATATGGAAAGCTCTAGTAGCCTAGTAGGACATAGTATGGTGCACTCCTTATTAAATAAAAGCAACATATGGGAGTCAGAAGGAGATACTTTGCATGATCAACACGCCCAAAAGTATGTTCAATCAATCCTGCCTCTAACTGCAGCATTGAGACAATAGTTAAAGCTTCATCTTCTTCTACTGCAGCACCCCAATAGCTTATTACCTTCTCCACATTGCCAAAATTATTTACACTTTCACCCATGAATACTTGCAGTAAATCAAGTAGTGAAGAGCAACGTTCATCCATAATGCGCTGCTGTAAAAGAATAAGTCTAGCAAACCACCAAGTGCTAGTTTCAAATCCAGTTTCACACCCGATATTTCCACCAAATGATAGATCTCTGGTCTTCATAAGCAAGATCTTCGCAAAGAGTATATACTGCAAAATTATAATTACATCAATTGAAAGATTAACATGTGGTACATGCTATTGGAATCCATGCAATAACATGAGTTAGTATAAATTTTCTTACGGGCAAAGAGTTGATTGTTAACAAGGACACAAAAACATAGAAAGCAGGTGGGCCAGAAGTTTACCAAACAAAACCTATAGAATACAAAATGTAGAACATTTATGTTAGGTTAATAGATCCTATAGTCAAAGTGAGGCAATAAATAACTACTACTCCCTTCATTCCTAAATAATAACATATATTAGCAGAGAGTTTAAAATACCACAAGTATCCTTCACTATTTACATCTCCACCACAGTATAGTCTTTCCGGCGTATTCTTGTTACTTAAGGGCATACGAAGAAAGTTCAAAGTTTAACTTAATTTATAAAGTTGCCTATTTTTTGGACAAAACAAAATAAAAATGTAGTCTACAATTTGGGTAGGAGGCAATAGATCAGTAATAATCGTTTAGAAACATGAGTCTGGACCTCTGGACATTCATAGTCTACTTCCACCATTACACCCCATAAGATTGTTGTATGCGATATACCTACTACTAACTCCCATTACTTTAAAAGCACACAAAAGCTTAGCAGGAACCAAAGAACACTAGCCTGTAAACCTCACTTTATCCTAATGCTACATCAAAAGTTAGTCTGAAAGAAATTAAGGGCGATTTCATTGCTAATGCACAACTGCCTGTCTCACCATTTCTAGAGCATACAATGACATGACCCCACCAAACTCAAATTAGTCCCCGAATCGACAATGTATTAGAGAAGTTGAATTTATCTGCTATCCTAAGGTTGATTGATAGGGATTCTAGAATCCAAAAAAATCAAAAAGGGTGAGGATTTGGACTTCAATGAGTGTTGTTTAAAAATACTGCATAAAAAGTCATAAGCATGGAACACTTGTACAAGGAAAACTCAACTAGAAAAAAAAAATAAAGACTCGACAAATTATTGAAACTCCCCTTCCAAATAGGGATGGTAGTGGGTCCAAGACCCTAGCCAAAGTCGAAACCTATTGGACCCTACCCTAAAATACCGGTATGGGCTTTATTTATCCAAACCTTATGGGTTCAGGTAGGTATGGGTCTATTTGACATTCGGTAGGGTCTAGGTCCGGGTATAATGTCTTTGTTAGAGATCTCGCAGCGGAAATATGGCTTTTACTAGATAATATGAAATCTATAGCTCACAAATAAATAATATTTTGGGATAGACAAATAACCACTATGAAGGAAATAATAAATATAAGAAAATAAACTTTCTTAATGCTAATAAACTTTTGACGTGAATAATAGTTGAAATTAATTTATCAACTTACAACCTATGCATTCTATAATAACTTAATGCTAAACAATGAATGGCTGAAACTATTAAACTATAGAAACAACGTAACATGTTTGCAAAATATACTCCTTTCATTTTTGCCATCACACACCCATTTTCCTCTCCTAGAAAATCTCTTTTCCTTTCACATTATTTATCTATTCTCAATTTAGAAAAATATATGATATGGTTAATTTTCGCCATATATTCCCACAATTCTCCACCTCGTTCATAATTAGAAAAACATTCAAATTTTGGACGAACGAATTTTGATTATCCGTATCCGGTGTACAATGACCGCCTACGTATCCTCAACCGGGATCAAACCAATCGTAGTTCCATTTATTTCTCCATGTAACCTAACATGGAACTTGCTTCCTGATACAACTTTGGTTAACATGTCTACAGGGTTCTCATTTGTATGCACTTTCATAAGAGAAATACTTCCTTTCTCTATGACGTCCCGTACAAAATGATACCTTACATCTATATGTTTGGTACGAGCATGATGAACCTGGTTCTATAGCACTTTGGCTGTCACAATTTAGATTCACACTATCCTGCTTCAATCCCAAATCATCTAAAATTCCCCGCAACCACAATGTTTCTTTAACTCCTTCCATAGCCATATACTCGGCTTCCGTCGTAGTAGAGCCACTGTAGCCATCACCAACTAACTGGAGCACCATGTATTTTAAATACATAACCAGTAGTATATCGTCGCCTATCTAAATCTCCAGCATAATCCGAGTCAACAAAGCCGCTTATTTGAAATGCATCTCCAACAAAGCATGTGTAAATAGTACCTTTTAAGTACCGTATTACTGCTTCCCAATGTGCTTTACCCCGCCGACTGCTTCTGAAATGTTTGGACGTGTACACACCATGGCGTAAACTGCGAACTGCACTAGCATAAGGTACATTATCCATGTATGCCTTATATTCCGCTGTAATGGGAGATTGGTTACCGAAGAGCCTAAAATATGGAACCAATTGAGTCACCACTAACTTAGCACTTTTCATCCCTAAACCTTTCAAAACCCGTTCAATGTAGCCTTTTTGGCTCAAGAACAATTTCTGCCTTGATCTCTCTCTTCTAATCTCCATACCAAGTATTTTCTTTGCAGCGCCCTAGTTTTTAGTCTCAAACTCTTCACCGAGCTGAATTTCTAACCTATCTATCTCCACCTTGCTTTTTGAAGCAATAAGCATGTCATCTACATACAATAGAAGATAAATATAATCACCTCCATGAAGTTTGCGAATGTACACACAACAATCGTAACTACTTCTGGAAAATCCTTGTTTTAACATAAATGAATCAAATCTCTTGTACCACTATCCAGGAGATTGTTTTAATTCATAAAGTGATTTCCTCAAGCAACATACCTGATTCTCTTTACCCTCAGGTGGATACATATAGATTTCCTCATCCAAGTCACCGTGTAAGAAGGTTGTCTTCACATCGAATAGAAGTATGTTTTACCACCGGAGAAATTATCTCATTTTCTTTCTGTGCAAATCCCTTGGCCACTAACCTAGTCTTATACCTTATTTTATCTAACTTGGAAGGAACCTCTTTTCTTTTATACACCCACTTACAACCAATAGCAGTCTTTCCCACGGGCAATGGGACTACCTCCCATGTCTTGTTTTTATGAAGATATTGCATCTCTTCTTTCATAGCAACCAACCAACTCTCACTCTCCTTGTCTTTGACAACTTGTTTGAAGGTGCCTGGCTCATCATCCTCATCATCCTCCACTGAGAGTGCATATTCTACCAAGTTTACATGCCTGCCTCAAAGGTTTGTTTGACCCAAACTTTTGAACTAATTCATGATTCCTCTTTGGCTTAGTAGATGCCAAAGAATCCTCTAGCAGTTGTTGTAATAAATGTGCATTTCCCGGCTGAATCTCCTCATGATCAAGATCATCCTCCTCCTCATCTTGAGTAATACAAGGATGATCCACCTGAACATTCTATCTCCACCACTTGAGTATTTGTAGTTATTCCAACATCACCATCATAGGCACAATAGCTTTCGATAAAGTTACCATAGATCTTTCATCAAAGGTCACATCCCTCCTAATTACAAATTTAGAATCCTCTACACTCCAAAGACGATAGCCTTGACCCCTTTTGGATATCCTAAAAAAATTGCTTTCTTGGCTCTTTCATCATGCTTGTTATCCTTAACGTGATAATAAGCCGTGCATTCGAAGACTCTAAGCCTTTTGTAATTTGCATGTTCCCCTGTCCACACCCTATAAGGCGTGTCACCATCTAAATAAGAATGTGGGTATCGATTTACTATATAACAAGTTGTAGCAACCGACTTCGCCACCATTCTTTGCCTAATCCAGAATTAGAGCGCATACACCTTGCCTTCTCAAGTAATGTACGATTCTGTCTTTCTGCTACTCCATTCTGTAGCAGTGTGTCTCGAACCGCTCAGTGTCTCACAATGGTTTCTTGATCACAAAACTCCTTGAAAGCTCCTTCTGTGTATACGGTACCATTATCAGACCGTACAATTTTTTAGCTTTCGACATGTTCTGCTCTCAACCATTGCTCTCCACTGCTTGAAAATGTCGAATACCTTATTCTTATACTTAAGAAAATAAATCCAAGCATATCTAGAATGATCGTCCAACAAATGTAGCAAAATACCTGGAACCATGATTGGAAGCAACTTTAGCCGGACCCCAAACATCCGTATGCACATAGTCTAACAACAGAGAACTTCACCCTATGTGATAGACATAATGCTCACAAAGTTCCATTTGTGGCTTCTTCATGTTCTTCAACAAACCTTGTCCACTAAACAATGATAAACCCTTTTCCGACATATGCCCAGGCACATGTGCCATATCCTCATGCATTTTGTTTGGTCTTTACTTCCGCCGATTCCAACTGCTAAATCACATATAACAGTTGTCCCCGAAAGAGAATAAAGATTACCGTGACGAATCCCCTTCATCACTACCAAGGAACTACGAACAACTTTTAAAACTCCATTCTCAAAGACTATTTTGCAACCATTTTAGCCATTCTCAATTTAGAGAAATATATGATGGTTAATTTTAGCCATATTTTCCCACAGTTTTCAAACCTAGGCGATCAAACTTACCCACGGACCCATGAGACCCAAACCTCGTACATAGACTCCCTCAATGTATTACTCTCTCCGTATTTTATTACTTGCTCCACTTTCCTTTAACGGCCGTATTTTATTACTTACTCGATTTCCTTTTTTGAAAACTTTTAACAATATATTACTTTTTCCTCCCCACTAGTGGTCCCCTCATATTATGTTTTAATTTATATTCTCTCTCCTCCCCCACTTATACTTACTTTTGTCTTTTCGGATTTTTTTAATTTCAACCAACCTCACTTCCATTATAAAATAATACTTTTTACTATTCCTTCTAAACCTCACGTCCAGAGAAATAGAGTAAATAATAAAATACAGAAGGAGTAAATAAAATAGATGGTATTAAGATTGAATTGAAAAAACCTATTGATATTGATTCTTTAGCATCTTAGTAATGAAATAGAGTATGATAAGAAAGATGACTACTAAATCAATCAATCAAAGTCTTAATCCCATAAGTGGGGTCGGCTATATAAATCAAATATAATTAATTCGTGTAGTCATCGGCAAAAATCTTCCTCCTCCATCTCTTACGATCTAATCCTCATCCTCATGCAAATCCATATAATTCATATCCTTCCTAACTCCTTCCAACCAAGTCATTTTCGGTCTCCCTCTCCCTCGTTTAACCCTTCCATGGTCCCACTCTTCTACTCTTCGTCGCCCAGGCGATTTTCCCTTAGTTTGTCTGCAAATGCCTGCCACACCTACTTTCTGGTGAATAACCTCATTTATGATTCTATCTCTTAGAATGTTCCCGCACATCCACCTTAATACGCGCATTTTCGTAACCTTCATCTTTTTAATGTGCTACTTCTTAAAAGCCCAACATTTTATACCATAGAGCAACACTGGTCTTATGGCAGTCCCGTAGAATTTTCCCTTCAACCGTAAGGGAATGCTTCAGTCACATAGCACTCCTGTGACCGCTCTCCATTTAAGCCACCCCGACTTAATCCTGTAGGCCACATCTTGATTAATGTCACCATTTTTTTTTATGATCAACCCATGATATTTAAAACATTCACTCATGGTAAGTCCTTTCCATCTAAACTTACCACATCATTGCTTGTCCCCCTTTGAATACCAAAGCGGTATACCAAATATTCAGTTTTACTCAAACTTAGCTTAAACCCTCTAGATTCCAACATTTGCCTCCATTGCTCCGATTTGGCATCAACCCCATCTTTAGTTTCATCCACCAAAACGATATCATCCGCAAACAACATACACCATGGAGCCTCATCTTGATTGACTTGGTTACTTCATCTAAAACCGTTGCAAAAAGAAAAGGGATTAATGTAGACCCTTGATGCAATCCAATTATAATAGGAAAATATTTTGTCAAGCCTCCACATGTCCTCACATTCGTTGACACATCCCGGTACATATTTTTTACCAGATCCACATACCTTTGTGAGATACTTTTCTTCAACAATGCCCACCAAAGTACCTCTCTTGGCACCTTGTCATATGCCTTCTCTAAATCAATAAAAACCATATGAAGATCCTTCTTTACCCTATAAAACTTCATCATTTGTCTTATCAAATGGATTGCCTCCATAGTAGATCTCACAGGCATAAAACCTAATTGGTTATCCGAAATGCTCATGCATGCCCTCAACCTATGTTCAATCACTCTTTCTCACAACTTCATAGTGCTGCTCATAAGCTTGATCCCTCGATAGTTAAAACAATCTTGAGCGTCTCCTTTGTTTTCATAGACTAGGACTAAGGTGCTCTTCCTCCAATGTTGCGGAATCCTTATAGCCCTCCATATCTTGTTAAAGAGGTTTGTTAACCAAACAATATCAATCTTACCCAAACACCTACACACCTCTATCGGTATACCATCAAGGCTAACCGCCTTCTTAGGCTTCATCTTTTTTTGTGCAATCTCCACCTCTACTCTCCTAATCCCCCGCACATACTCCATGTTGATTTCTTCATCACTCATAGAGGTACCCCTTCTTGTCACAACTCCATTACTTCCATTAAACAATTCATCGAAGTACCCCTTCTACCTGTCCTTTTTGTAGTTGTGCACTTAATTTTGCAAGACTTAGAATACTAATGTGTTTATGGTTAAATTATTTTGTTGAGATACCATTCTATTACGGAGTAGTTTATTAGTCATGTTCTCAAGTAATAGGTTTTTTTTTTCTTTTGCGCACTACACGTATACTATAAAATAGGCGATTAACATTTGTGAAAAAAATAGTATAATTAGGTAAAGACACAAATTAGACCTAGGACCATACCTAAGCCCTGCTACACCAATAGGGACCGCGTAAGGGACTTAAAAATTTAGACCCTAAGGATCGGTATGAATAAAAAAAGCACAGGTCCGGGCATTACTAGAACCTACCCATTGTCATCCCTACTTCCAAACAAAAGGGTTTTGCACTATCTCCAAAAAAAACCTAGCATTTGCATTTCTCGCAATGGATTGCCTAGATGCCAACATTATCTCAATAATTACAACATGCTTTGCAATACTATTCGAAAGTACTACAAGTAATACATGTCATGTTATCAATCTAATGGTTCAACTTCTTCATAGCTTTATGCAATTTAAAATTACATTTTTGATTGATTCCAAAATAAAATCAATTCTACAAAACCACTAATTTCACAAATTCACCACAAAAAACACAATGCACAGACTTTCAAGCAACAAGATTCAACATGATCAAAGTACCTGTAGATTAGAAAATTTAGCAGCCAAATCAGAACCATCAGACATTAACTGATTTCGCGCCCACGCTTCCCATTCCTTTCCCTCTTTTATTGCCTTCCACGGCAATGGAACTGAAGGTAGCTCAATCACTGGACTGCAAAAAATAATCAAAATTTTCAATTTCACTCCAATCAACAACAAACCTACTAAATTCCAATCACATTAAACTAATGTTCAATTTCATTTCAACCAACAAAATTACTCAATTTCAATCACATTTTAACTAATTTCCAATTTCACATTTATTTTCAATCACATCAATTAAAAACCTTCAATTTCACATTAATTATGGAAAGAGAAACTAACCCAATAAAGTTGCACTGGAAGAAAGCGAGTAAAGCAGCAACAGCAATAGAAACAACCAGAATAATCTTAAAAGAAGCATTAGCTTCAACAGTATCATTAACCAAATAAGATTCAACCGCTCTTTCCAATTCAGAGTAGAACTGGCTCGGGTCGAGTGACTCGAACGAGTCGGCAAATTGAAATATCGTCCGAGCTCCGGCAGAAGAGAGAGAATCAACAAAGCGTCCAGATTCTATGAGGCTGATAATGTCGTCGAGAAGAGGATGAAATGGCGGCGGAGTGCGGCGGGTGATGTGCGGCGGTGGTGGTGGAAGAGAGCAGCGGAGGAGACGGAGCTCGTAGTTACGGAAGTGATGTGCCTCTGATTCCGCCATTGAAGAGAAAGAGAGAGAGAAAAGATGGTCCTTAAACGGCTGTGTAGTTTGAAATGAGAGGGGTGTTTGCTGTTTGAAGACCAAGGGTTTAAGGGAGTGATTGTTTGAATACTCGTAATAATGTACTTACAAGTTATAACTTGTTGAGAATGTTGACAACAAAAACATGAATTGGTTGATGTCTTTGAGGGGGTATTTGGTATATGGGAATGAGTTGGAGGGAATGGGAGGAAGGCCTTGTTTAGAGTGATGCATACAATGGTTGTATGTGGTAACCGACATACAATATTATTGTATTTATGCCACATCAAAAGAGAAAAAAATTGAGAGGGAAAAAATTGGGGTAGTTGGCGCCTTTCAGGGAATTAGGCGGGATAATTAGTGGGCCAAGACTTGGCGCCACTCTCCCATCAATTATGGCTTCAATTTAAATAAACTCCTCATTTTTAATTAAAATAAAAGAAAGAAAATTTTATGTATAATTATCCTACGGATAACTTTTTTAAAAAATTTATTTAGAACTACCCATAAAATAGCAAACGTTTGTCTAACACTACCCATAAATGATTTTCGTCCAATTGAGCTGTTTGTAAGGCCCTCTCCTACAGTTTACCACCCAATTAACTCCTCTGCTCAACAACATCCTCTCTTCCTTCAGTTACTTTCCCTCTATTATCGCTCCTCTTCTTTGACCTCCACCTTTCACAAGCAAATCTCTAAATTCATCCCTAACTATGTGGCACAATTATAAATTATAAATTGTTGAACATAATGTGGGAAACCTTAATTTTTTATTGCTCAAATTAGAACCCTAATTTTATTTGACAAAATAAGCAAAACTCCTAATTCAATTCAAGCCCTAAACCCTAAAAAGTAAAATCTCCAATTTGAATTGAAACCCTAAACCCTAAATTGAATCCCTAACTACGTTAATTGAAGTAAATTAAAAACCCTTACCCAATTAAATAGACCAATTATTAAAACAGTAGCTTAAAACATTACCCAATTTAGTGAGAAATTGTATTGAATTACTCAAATTTTATTATCTTGGATTTTTGGATGAGTTTGGAGGGAAAGTAAATGAAGGAGGAGAGAGTTGACAGGGAAACCATAAGAGTGAGCCTCAAAAACGGCTCAATTGGACAGAAAGCGTTTATGAGTAGTACCAGACCAACTTTTTTCATCTTTAGGATAGTTCTACAGAAAATTTCCTACATAATAAGCAAACACATGATGTTTAAACAAACAACTAGCTAGTCACCTATTCATCCCTAGCTAGTCCCAAAACCTCTTACTTGCTCTTTTCTTGTAATCTCAAGCATTAGTCACCTATAACTAAGTGATAATGACATGTTTTAGCTAGTTATGAGTTCAATAGACAGGAAATATAGAAATTAGGCATCCTAGTAGCCAAAATGGCCTTACTTGAGCCATTTTGGTTGAAATTGCGTCCCAAAACCTCTTACTTGCTCTTTTCTTGTAATCTCAAGCATTAGTCACCTATAACTAAGTGATAATGACATGTTTTAACTAGTTATGAGTTCAATAGACAAGAAATATAGAAAATAGGCATCCTAGTAGCCAAAATGGCCTTACTTGAGCCATTTTGGTTGAAATTGCGTCCCAAAACCTCTTACTTGCTCTTTTCTTGTAATCTCAAGCATTAGTCACCTATAACTAAGTGATAATGACATGTTTTAACTAGTTATGAGTTCAATAGACAGGAAATATAGAAAATAGGCATCCTAGTAGCCAAAATGGCCTTACTTGAGCCATTTTGGTTGAAATTTCGTCCCAAAACCTCTTACTTGCTCTTTTCTTGTAATCTCAAGCATTAGTCACCTATAACTAACCCCAATTATTATTATTTCACTTCTACTAACTCACGTTTTGTGTATTCTAAGTTTTGCAAGGGGCAAACGGGACTTCCATACACGAGCGAGGAACTCCATGTAATTCGGGAGATGTTGGCGACCTACATCACATTTAATTTGTAAATATCGTCATACATTTTTGTACTATATCATCTCTTCATCAATCCTAGCCTTAGATGTATAATTATGTACTATATATGAAACATTTTTCTAATTTATTATATCATCTCTTGCGATTGTTATTATTAATTATTTATGTTTTGTTATTAATGTTACTAATTATTGTTACTATTATCATATATAATAATAATAATAATTATTATTATTATTAATATTATAATATTAATAATTATTATTATTAATATAATAATTATTATTATTATTAATATTAATAATATTACAGCCAAAAAAAAAACAGGTCAATATTACTGCAGCCAAAAAAAAAAACAAAAAACAGGTCAATATTAGTGCAGCAAAAAAAAAACAATATAGGTCATTGGCAACGGTTAACCGTTGCCAATGTTTTAAAATAAAAAAAAAAAAAGCGCGCCATTGGCTTTGGCAATGGTTAACCGTTGCCAACTCAAGCAATTGGCAACGGTTAACCATTGCCAATTACTTTTAAAAACAAAAAAAATGCGGCATGGTCAATGGAAACGGTTAACCGTTTCCAATTGCTTGAGTTGGCAACGGTTTTGAACCGTTGCCAATTTTTTTGGGATTTGGCAACCCTCAAATACTCAACGGTTCAAAACCGTTGCCTATGGGGGGGTTTGAACCGTTGCCAATTTGTTGGTTTCGTGTAGTGTAGTGAAGAAAACTGAAGACATATAAGCCATAAACTCCGACAACTTTCCAGAGAAAAAAAATAAAATAAAAGGGAAATTCTATGCTATAACTCTGAGGAGTTCGAAATTCTACGTTGTGCCCATGGTTTTTGAAATGTCTACACTGTAACCCCAAGGTCTCGTTAGTAACTCTGTTGTACCCTTGTCGTACGTTTCCATTAATAAAGTTCCGTTATCTTAAAAAAAATATAACAAAAAAGAAAAAGAAAACCAAAACCACCAACCTAACCACCCACAACTAGCCGTTGCAATCCACGGCCAGCCCTACCCTCGTCCCCTCGAGCGCTGGCCGCCGCTCAGACCCCCTTCCCCTCCCCCATTGTCGGCGCTGCCCCGATGACCCTCCCCTTTCCCCGTAAAACCTCCCGTAACCCCCCCCCCCCACCCTAAAAAAAAACCTTAAATAACCTCCCAACTGGCGGAAAACATCGAGCCGCATCTCCCTTCACCGCTGTCGTAGCCTTTTGCTATTGTTCTTGTTCTCTCTCTCTCCGCCCTAGCCTCTTGCTGCCGGAATTCGAAGGTTAGGGTTAGGGAGATTTTGCTGAATTTCGTGGTGTACTGGTGTTTGAAGGGGAAAGGAGAGGTGGTCGGGGCAGCGCCGACTTCGGGGGAGGGGAAGGAGTCTAGGCGACCGACGCTCCGGGGGAAGGGGGGCAGGCTAGCGGTGGCAGCGGGCTGACCATGGGGTGGTTTTGGTGTTCTGTTTTTTTATTTATTTATTTAAGTTATTTTTTTATGTCTAACGGAACTATATTAACGGAGATTTAGCATCAAGGGTACAACAGAGTTACTAACGGAACCTTGGGGGTTATAGTGCAGACATTTCAAAAACCATGGGCACAGCGTAGAATTTCGTAGCGTATAGAATTTCCCTAAATAAAACATGTGCAAGGTACTATAGGGAAACGCTATTCTAGAAGGTACATTTACAGCAGGTTCGATCTTCGTCCTCGTCACTTTTATCTTTAGATTTTTAGTCGCAGAAACGAATTCACAAAAATCTACCGTCAAAATATAAACTTCACCATTATTAACATGTTCGAATTACTTGTTCCATGTTGAATTTTTTTATTTTTTTTTATTAGTATTTATTTATTTTTCATATCTAAATCTTCTATTCGTGTTATAGTTTGTTATTTTGTGAATCAGCAGTTACACCAACAATCTGTATGTGAAATTTGAAAACACATTAATACAACAGTTGATGAGAAATCTTGAATTCGACATGTATTTTGATTTACAAGATTTTAATGCTTCTAGCGTCCTTGAATACAGTGAAAAGTTTAATATTTAATTATTAACACAAATTAATTTTGTAGTATCATCATCACGGAAATTACCCATGAACAGTTCAAAAACATAAATATTAGAAAGCCCTTAAATTGATATTTATTTAGTAGCACAATAACGACTTCAATTCCTTAAATATCATTTGCAAAATTTCCTTACAATAAGAGTGACAACTATAGTATTGGACTATTGGTAATATAATTTACGAAATTTTATCTCGGCAGTATTATAGCATGTGGACTACTTTGGAACTAAACCTGGGCATCGTGCCGGGCCGTGCCGCCGTGGGCCGTGCCTGGCGGGCCACGGGCTCCCGCGTGCCATGCCGGTCGTGTCGCCGTGCCCAGGAATTCGTGTCGTGCCGTGCCGACCATTCTCACAGGCCAACCCACGGCCTGGCACGGCCCTCGTGCCTGGCGAGCTCGTGCCGTGCCGGCCACGTGCCGGCCTGCGTGCTGGCAGCGGGCTGGTGGCAGTTTCCAATTTTATTTTTATTTTTTTTTAAGTGACAACATTATAACTTATATAAGTATTATAATGTATATAAGTTATAAAATTATAATTATAAGTTTTATAAGGTTATAAGTTTATAACTTATAAGTTATTAAGTTATGAATTTTATAATTATAAGTTGAATATTTATGTTTTATAATTTTGTATATTCAATATTTATATTTATATATTTTATTTATACTATTACTTTAAAATTTAATGTTTATGATTTATTAAATATAATTTTGTATTAGTAATTGGTATAATTTTATTTTTTTTAATTATGAATTTACAAATTGTAACAAAACGGGGAAAAAAGGCAAATTGGACTTTGGATGTGAATAATGCGTACTTTATATTATTATTACTTGAGTTGAGAAAATTGTACAATGATAACAATGATAAAAATCATACAATGATGGTATTAAACAAAAATTGGAAAATGATAAAATTAATATTTGATAATGATTAAAATCGTACAATATACAATAATTGTCTATTCTTCTTCTCCTTTTTCTTGCTCGTCTTCGTCTTGGTCTTCGTCTTCGTCTTCGCCTTCGACTTCAAGGTCATCGGCTAGTTGCATAGATTGGGAACTAGCCGAACCCGAACCGGAAGCGG